GATGAGAAGCTTCCCAGCAAGCAGACATCAGCTCAGCAGGCACTTTTTTATTAATTGTGTCTGGAAAGAGATCAGGTGCCTCTGTTAGTGACTGCTCAGCTGTGCTGATTAGCACCTGTCTTACACCCTGTCCTGTTTTGTGGGCAATGGTTACACCAAGGACATGTGCTTCCTAACTCAGTCACTGAGACTGTGGTCTTTCTTATCAGGATTGCTTAGTGAGTGTGCATCCAGGTAGGACCTGTGGAGGGACACAAACCCTTCACTGCAACTCAGAAAAACACTGTGGCATATCCTAGGGTTTCTGGCTGAGGGGTGTAATGTTACGGTCCATTAATATCGGGAGGTAATCTGAGCCCTTAGTCACCTCCTCATTTTGCAAGCTCTTTAGTCAGCCATGATGCAGTTACTTCTAAGTTTGTCCCCAGTTGTGCTCTTTATTCTTTGATGTGTAGTAGTGGGTTTAACAGCAGTGTTTGCTATTAGTTTCCACCTTCTGTTTCTTGTTTTCTTTTTCTCTCTTGGCTTTTCCCCATTCCCCTTTCTTTTCATTCTTTTTGTTCTTCTCATTATTTTTTCCTTTTTTCATTTTCTTTTTTTTTTAATTTTTCTTTTTCTTGTTGCAATTAAGTTTTTTTTAAGGAATCTGTGTTGGTTTTTTGCAATTGATACCAAAATTTTGTTCTTAACTACTGTACTGAAGCTGAGAACACAAGCCATAGGATGCTGTTGAGAAAAAGGTGGAGGAGGCTAGGACCTGTTGGAAAAATTGTGGAGAGACACCTAGCCCCAAGTCCCCTGATGGGATGATCCATGCTTCAAGTGAGAGGTTTGACTGAAGAACCCTTCCCAACTCAATCTGTATGTCTTTCAAAGATACAAAGTCAGCTGGGAGGATTCTGGGACTTGAGTGTTCTCAAGACCCCAGATGAAATCAGGACATATATTTCTCTGCTAGCTTCCCTTCAGTTGCACTTTGTTCTCTCTGTTGGACAAGCTTGCAGGTGTGTTCTGATTGTGCTTTCTTGTCCAAACTCTTCACATTATACATCTCAGCCAAGCCTCTCTTCTTAAGGTAAGAATGCTCAATTTTAGTTGCTAAGAGACGTTCTTGCTATACAAAGTTCCATTCATCATAAAATACACAAGAGATGAGTGCACAGGGAAGCAACCATGGGCTGCCAGCAGCAGCATCTGAACACAAACAGTGCCTGTTCTTTTCATAGGGAAGCATTATTTTTCTCTCAGGTAAGCTTGAGTAAAGCAGTGTGGGTTTAGAATGCTATCCAAGGTGCTGGTGCTGAGCTCAGTAGCCTTCTAGTCTCCCCAGGAACGATCTACCTCATAGTCTTTGAATACTTTCAGCATCTGTCTCCATGGTATCCTTGACATGCAGAGAACACATCCTGCTTGCTCATGCCTTTTGGCTTCTGCCCCGTGGCAAAAGCCTGTTAGTTGATTTTTTTGTGGAGTATCATGGGACAGAAGACTTGTGCACCCTGCTCACACAGTGTTTCTCTGGTGTTTTCCAGGATGATGGACATCGCAAAGGCCATGCGGTTGAAGGTCTCCAAGGCAAAGGGACTGCCAGAATTTGAAAATGATCAGAACCACAAGCTGGGCACTCTTTCTCTCCCCTTGCCTATGCAGAAGGCATCAGGGAACCAAAAGAAGCGCAAGAAAATGAACTAAAATGTCTGGGAGGGGCAAAACAGTTGTTTTCTCACTGCTGTTCCACATCATAGGAGTGTTTTTGTCTGTTGGGTTTGGCTGTCCAGCATCAGCACATAACCCTGCTGAAATCCTCTCTCAAGGCTGGGTTGCAAGATATGTTCACCTCATTAAACTGCTTATTTTTTTTCATTTATGTAGAAAAAGCTGTAGTAAAACCTTTTTCTTTCTTCCTGTCTGTATGAGGGGAGAAAGATGTAGGTTGTGCTGGAGCAAGAAGACATGGTTTGAAACTGCAGGTCCTCCACTGACTACTGAGGATTCTCAGTACCTGGGAGAGAGACTGCTGGGTTAATTTCTCTGTGTATTCAGTCTAGTCCTGGGCTGCAAGGCTCATTCCAAGTGTATACTAAGCAAGGCTGTAGGAATCTGGGGCTTCTGAAAAGCTGAGGATTACCTCCAAGAGAAAAAGCTTATGTGAAACAGTAACATGGGCTGTCAAGAGCAGTCTTCTCTTTGAGGTGTTTTTGCTCCAGATTGTAATTTGAGTTTAGTACATAATTCTGGGATTTAAGAGTAATTCAGTGCACACCTTAATGACTCACTACTCGCAGCTCTGTCACTCACAGGAGTGACAGAAACATCCAGTTTTCTGAGTAAAGGAGAATTAATCCCATGGGAATTGTAGGCTGCAGATAGGAATGTTTCTAGGCTGCAGATAGGAATGTTTCTATCACAGAATTGCTGATACTGGAAGGGAGCTCTTGTGGTCACTTTATCCTGTCCCACTGTGCAACCAGGGCCACCCACAGCCAGGTGCTTTCGCAAAATGAGTAGCTTAGTGTTAAAGAACGTTCTTCAAAGGTTTTAGCAAGAGCAGTTTTAATGTGATCTATAAAGGCACAACCTAACAGAATTCAGTGGCAAGGTTCACTCTTACGTATTACATGGATGACCCATACAAAGGAAAGTCGAGGTAAAATTGAGCTAGGGATGGTTGATACAGGGACCAAAGTCACAAAGGGTAAGGGAAACCCTCCTGTTGAATTACGAGATTCAGAGTAGACCATCTTCCTTTCTAAATTCCTGATGGAACCTAGGTTCAGCAGGATCTAGTCTTGGTCTTGGATATGCAAACCATCCTAATGTTCAGCTCTTCCAGCACCACAAAGAGCATCACACAGGGAGGCAGGCTACCCACTGCAAGCTGCTGCAGCCTCCCTACCCCAGGTGCTGAGGAGCAGAGGGGCTCCAAGCTGCAGGCTCCTTTGCCCCGTAGAAAAGTACAGGAGAAGCAGCATGTAGCAGTTGAAGCCCACCTCGGTTGATGTCACAGAAGAGTCTGGGTTTTAGCCTCCTTCAACCATCCTCCTCACACTAGGGATGAGGTGAGAGGCTTTATCAGCCATGGGACTGCTGCTCTGAGAGAAGTCCCAAAACCAGATGTGCGGTGCAGATGCGACCATGGTTGATGGTGGGAAACATTAGACACAGTAGCAGGAGCAGAGGTAGTGCTGCATTGGAAATGATAGCCTGCAGAGCACATGTGGGCCCCGCTGCACATGAGTAAGGTGTCACATGCCATCCCCTGGGCTTCCACCTGCCTCCTGTCAGAAGGAACAAAGCCCAAGGGCCGCAACCCCACCACCAGCTCCTCCTCCCCAGTGTGATCCTGAATCTCTGGCTTGCTGTTGAGATGCAGAGGAGAAGAGCAACCAGGCTGATCATGAAATAAAACTACCAACTGAGCACAGTGCCTGCCACAGACTGCCTTGGCATCCTCTCAGGAATGCTCACCAGAGATGGCTCCACTCCAACCAGGCTGTGAAGTGAGTGGAGGAGCTTCTGCAGCAGTGAACCAGGGTGGGAAAGCAGTGCATGTGACATGCAATCACAAGCAATGCACAATCACTATCACTAGCTGGGGGTGTAGGGCTTGGTGCTGCACTTCAATCTGCTGTTCTGCTGCAAGGGTAAGTGCAGGCAGTGCAGGGACCATCCATCTTCTCTGGCCAGACAGCTGTGTCCTCGCTGTCCTTGGTTGCCCCAGCATGGCTGTCCCTCCTCTCACTGCTGCCTGCTTGGGGCAGTGGCTGTGGCTGCCTGTTCAGGCAAGGCCTGGCAGCTGAGGAAAGCCCCTACCACCCTGCCAGAGTAGTGCAGACTACCAGCAGTGCCCAGGGTACAGAAAACTGCTTGTGGGCTGCAGGGCCTGGTGTGACGTGTGCCGACCTCTAGAAAGAAGGGCCAGGCAGGAAGAACACACAATGTGCTCATACTGGACATCCACACTTCCACCAGCAGCTGCAAGGGTGTGAAGGAAGAGAAGCTGTGAAACCATCCTAGAGGCAATCCTCCAGGAACACACGTTTGGCTGCCTGGGGAGGCACCTACAAGAGGCAAGAAATGCAGGCACCTGCCCGAGCTGGGTCCCACACACCAAACCCTGGCCCAGGATTGCCCCGCACTGGAGGGTCCTGGCTGTGCAAGGACATCGAGCCCTTGCCAGCTCCACCACACTCCCACTTCGTGTATCACCCTGCTCCCATCTCACATCCATGCATTCCACTGCCTCCCACTGGCTGGTGCTCTGATACCCATCTCTCAACAACAGCCTCTGGTCTAATTCCTAGCTGAGCAAATTCTCACTGAGAGCAGCAGCTGGGCTGGCCGCATCTCCCTCCCATTTGCCACCAGTTAAAACCAGGCTGCTGAGCAAACTGAAAGCAAACGAAAGAGAACAACGGAAGAGAGGCCAAAATGCTGGATCTGCATTTGTTGCCAGCCTAACTCCTATGAAAACAGCCCCATAGCATCTCAGAGCTGCTGAAGAGCTAAATTCAGCCTCCACTCCCTCCTGCTACTACTATGTCCATGGGTCAGCCTTCAGGATGGCACCTTTGATACAGGTATTCCTTGGAAATAAAGGAGGGGTCTTCCACTGGCAAGAAACAAGGTGTTTCTGCACAGGAACAGTGATCTTGGGTGGGGACTGCAGATGAGGAGCTAGCAGAAATCACAGCAGCACCCTTTCCCAGAGTCAGCTGGAAAAACATCCCCCCACCTTCCCTTGCACAAAACTTTTCTTTGCAGTCTTTAAAAGCAATAAACTGAAAAGTGGGCCCAGATCCTGAGCTGCCCTGACCAAGCAGTGGGGATGGTCTTGCTCTGGGCTGGAGATGATCTTCCACAGCTTCCCTCACACTGGGGGATTTTTATCACCCCAGTCCTTGTTCCTGTCTGAAGAGGAACACAGGCACAGAGGTGAACTTTGGGCAAGCACTGTGCTGAGAGAAAACCTCAGTTCAGCCTCCAGCACATGTCCTGAGCCAAAATCCCTCCCCTGAGGGTCTCCTGAAGCAGCCACATCTGGCCACGGCAACTGTCAAGACCAGAGGCTGACACCACAGTCCTGCAGTCCCTGCATTTGTGGTATGTGATTTGCAGCACTTTTATAGGGTGAGAGTTTAATTTACAGGTAGAGCAGGCCTGACTACATGACCCCAGCATGCCACCAAGTTAACATCTCCAATTGCAATTACATGAAGAAAGCAGGTGGCTGCAAGTGACCTGCCTTTCATTTGGGCTGGTTAACACAGGCAATGCATAGAAAAGGAGACAGTGGAGCAGGAGGGAGAGGGAAGAGGGCTCACAGCAGTCTTCACAGCACCTTTCTGTTCTGTATGTAGCACACTGCGTAGGTAAGATCCCTGAAGATGTTTCCTTCCAGTTTTGCTTGCCCTTGTGAATAAATGAATAGTCCTCCCTTCCCATCCCTGAAAAGGCACTGTCAGATGATGCAGCCTTGCAGAGAGTTGGCCAAAGACTGGGCCTCCTTGTCCTGCTGCAGCTCCTGCTGCAGAGACTTGAGTTTAAGGTCCCTCTGAAGAGTGTGCAGTCTGTTGCTTTGAAACCTGCTGTCCGTAACATTAGCAATTGTGTCACTCAGACTGTGAGCTTGATAGGGCAGTTTGTAGGCAGCCTGAGCATCCTCTGCATTGTTGCTGTTTAAGTCACTGTCACTAGAGTTTGAGTTGAGGGCTGGGGATTCCTCCTCCTTTGCTGCCTGCAAGCCATCTCTGAATTCAGTGCCTTCCTGGGCTGAGCCAAGCAGGGCTTGAGCACCAACAGCAGAGAGGAAGCTGCTTTGTCCTTACCCTACAACAATCTCTAGTGTTCTCACTGGCCCCAGCAGTGATTCCCTCACAGCCATCCTGCTTGGCCAAAGGGCAGCCAGCTGGGTTGGGCTCCCGTATGGACGCTGCATGGGATTGGCCAGCATGGCCAGGTGCTGCAGGCCCAGTTACAGTCAGAGCTTGGGCAGCCCTTCACAGTTACAGAGGCAGTCCCACTGCTGGTGAACTCGCAGCTCTCCAGGATGCAGAGGGCCATGCTGTGGAGGTAGATGCTGAACTGGCTGAAAGTGCAGAACTTCACCTGGCACGTCCCTGGTGCATGGATCTGCAGCTGCCCATTTTCAAAGTTGCAACTGTCTAACTGGACATAGCCTGAGCTTGTCTGGAGAGTAAGCACAAAGTGAGTTCATTGCACAAAGCAAGAAAAAGTGGTCCTGGACATCAAGTCTTTCCACAGCAAACAAGCTCATGCTCACAATATGCAGTCAGGTGTCACAAAAACAAGTTCACACAGACATAGATGCAGTGCTGCAAGCCGAGTTAGCAAGTATCTTGCAACAAGTGATATCTACTGACTTTCTTCTGTGCTGGCAACATTTCCTTAACTTCACAGGCAAGACACAGCTTTGCAGTTGTCGTGGTTTATCACTTCAATGTTTAAGTGGTTTAAGCCACTTTAATGTGGTTAAACAGTTGCTCAGGGAGGCCCAGCAGCCACAAGAAGGAGCGGACAGGGCCTGATGTGCCAAGATCATTAAACCTTAGCAACACTCTCTACACAGTAGTTTGCAACTTCAGAGATGCATATTGGCCATTGGGCATTGTTAATGGACTCATGGGTTTACTGGGTGAATCAGAAGTTAAGACGACATCAAACATTACATGGGTGACCTGGAGAGCTACAATTCTCCCCTGAGCCATTAGCATAATTGGTGAAGGATGCTGCACCCACAATGTATCAAGTGCAAAGCAAAGAATGTAAAATTTTGTGCCATACTGTTGCACAGGCATTATGTTGTGACACTGCGGTGGCAGAGACACAATCAATTCCTTGTTCCCTCACTGTGGTTAACCATCTGACTTGCTGGTGCTTGCAGAACTGTGAGCCATCCCTACCATGACTTTTCTACTTTGTTAAGCAATACATATAGCAATTTCTGGGTGCTGGCATACCACCAGGATGATTGTGCATGGCCAAGTATCTCTGCTTATCTACTGAAAAGGCGAACTGTAATGCAACAAGGTACAGAGGAGCCAGGTGAGAAAAGCTGAGTAGTGTGCTTGGAATTTCACAGTGCTCCTAATTTGACAAGAATCTCTTAAATCATTATTTTCTCTTCCTTGATTGGTGCACCACATTAAAAGCAGACTGAAAATAGCTTGTGACAAGTGAGCTGGGGCAATTTTACAGATATCCAGAGTCTGCAGCCAACATACAGTCCTAACATCTGCTTTCAGCCTTGAGCAACCTCAGAAGTGGTCATACTGCAGAAAGGTTTTGAAATGCACTTATTTGTACCCCAAGACAGTAACACAGAAATCCCTTCAGACCACTAGCCTGCTCCAGACTTAATCATAGCTTTCCATTTTCTAATTAAAAAGCGCTAATAAACAGAGATACAATCAAATAAGCTTCTGAGAGGCTGCTTGTGAAAACCTTTCTGAAATTGCAACTTGCAGGGTTCTTATGACTGCCAGTAAGATTGCTGTAAGTTTGCTTTTTATGATTTTTCATTGATGGCTTTGTGGGGAAATGCCTTCATTTCACCAACTGCAGCTGCACATGGAGACCAGAGCAACAGTCTGAAAGGCGAAATGCAGCCACACTGACCAGCCAAATGCAGGAGATATTACTGAGCAAGACACCACATGTCTGCATTAGCAACCCAGCATGTGGCCACGGACAAACAGGGACTATTTCAGCAGATTTGCAACTCAGTTTTCCCACCATGTGCCAGTGCGTTATCTTTCTCCTGAGGACTTTCAAACTGATTTACATATGATAGAATGACCAGCAGGTTGAAGGAGGTGGTCCTGCCCCTCTGCTCTCATGAGACCTCACTTGGAGTATTGTGCGCAGTTCTGGTGTCCTCAACATAAAAAGGACATGGGACTGTTGGAACAAGTCAGGAGGGCCACAAGGATTATCAGGGGACTGGAGCACCTCCCATATGAAGACAGGCTGAGAAAGTTGGGGCTGTTCAGCCTGGAGAAGAGAAGGCTGCATGGAGACCTCATAGCAGCCTTCCAGTATCTGAAAGGGGCCTACAGGGTGCTTGGAGGGACTCTTCATTAAAGACTGTAGTGATAGGACAAGGGGTAATGGGTTAAAACTTATGCAGGGAAAGTTTAGATTGGCTATAAGGAGGAAGTTCTTTACTGTAAGGGTGGTGAGGCACTGGAATGGGTTGCCCAAGGAAATTGTGAATGCTCCATCCCTGGTGGTGTTAAACCCCAGGCTGGACAGAGCTTTGGATGACATGGTTTAGTGTGAGGCGTCCCAGCCCATTGCAGAGGGGTTGGAACTAGATGATCTTAAGGTCCTTTCCAACCCTAACTATTCTGTGATTCTATGATATTATATGTGATATCATAAAATTGTGAAAAGGAAATGAAAGTGTACATTATAGCTAATGATGGGCTAACTTATCACAAGGAAAGTCTTTTTTTTTTGGAGGCACAGCCCATGGGTGCAGCATTCATGATGGGCATATCCCACTCTAGACCAGTCAGCAACTGTCCATGGGGACCAAAGCCTTATCAGGGTAGACTACGGCAAGAGGGCTAAGCCCACAATACTGTGTTCTGCCTTAGGTATACAGAAGACCCTGGATATCCCAGCTGAGGGCTCCCAGCCCAGGCTGAGGCAGAGTGCACATCAACAGCATCAAGCTTTTGGGGCAGAGGGGCTGATGTGGTGCACACTGTAAGGACTGCCAGCTCCCGGGGTACTTCTTGTACACCCAGCTTCTTAGGTTGCTCACACCTCGCCACATGGACAGTTGGAAAGGTGGCTGGTGAGAAGGGGAATATCACAGAACAAAGGAAAATGCCCACCAGCCTGGGAGCCAGAAACATCCCTGAGAAGCACAGATGCATCTCTGAAGTGCAGCTGGGTACTAAAGACATCCTGAGATACCACCAACAGGTGAAACATACAAGGGACTGCAATGGCAACCTATCATCTGGAAAAGTGGAAACAGGCCATAAAAATAAAATCACTCTGAAAGAACAAAACCCATCATTATTAGCTGCTGCAGGTGAAAAATTTAAATCAACAGCATTTACTGGTTGTTTGAAGTGGTGGTGTGCTACAGCCCCTTAAAACAGACCTTTTTATCCAAAATTAAGCCTCTCTCTGAGAATGTCCCATCCTGCATATACTTTTCCTTTGGCCCCCCTTCTGGGGTTGATTCAGTTTGCTCTCCTGCCCCTGGGATGGCTGGGCTCCCTTCTAAATGGAGTAACAGACACACCCACTCTGATCGAGTGAACAGCGCTTTGGTCCAGGTAGCACAAACAGCCATGACTAAAGTCAAACCTGCAGCGCAAACAGTGCCAGGCCAGACCTCCTCAGGGACTAGCTAGATCAGGTCTTATCAGGAGCTAACAGTGCCAGCCTGAGCTGAGAAAACGGTTAAAGCTAACAAAACAAAAACTGCTATAGCTGTGCACCTACACAAAGAGTGGGGGTTGACAAGTCCATCACTTTGAGTCCTCCTCTAGGGTTGCACTGCGGTGACCTCCCTCAAGGAGGCATGCCTCTCAAGATTACTCCCTCGGCCTGAAAGACTCCTTAATATGGCATCTGATAAGAGGTAATATGATATGAGGTATCATAACGAGGTAAGCAATGTTTTACAGTAGGCCTCCCTAAAAGTATGTTCTATATTGATTACATTTATATATCCAGCTGTTGTGTATTTAAAAGTATAGTAAGCAGTAGTGCTCGACCACCATCTAAATTATTGTTTAAATCATTTAAATCAGTGTCAAATCATTGTCAAATCAGTTTCATTACCATTTGATTATTGCTTAATCATAATTTTACTACCATTTAATTATTATGCAATCACTGACTAATTATAATTTGATCATCATTCAACCACTAATAAATCCTCTAGTTTACACCACAACAATGACCTCTCCTAATTCACAGCTGGTTTGATCCCTTCTGAAATCTAATTCTCCTGATAAGTGTATTATATTATCTACATAAGTAACCTATCATAAGCATATCTGTTATTGTATTAGTGGTAAGTTTGCAGTAACCTGTAATAATATTTACCCACTTGTTTGCTACTGTTATTGGTTGTTGCTGTAAGATTGTTGCTATTACTGATTGCTGCCATACTATCGATTAGTACTGTATCACTAATCGCTGCTAGTAATCGGTAATAGCCTGATAGATATTTATATTTGCTTTATTACACAAAGACATTTTTGTGGCATTTGTGGCAATCTGTAATCAAGTGGAGACATTTGAAGGATAAAGCCTCCGAGCCCCTATGTGTTAAGGAGTCCAAGAACTCCTGGGTGTGCCCTCTGAACACCCAGGGAATTCAGGTGGCCTCCGGAATCCTCTGGAATCCTAGGGAATTCTTTGGTGACCTCGCCATCCCCACGACTCTGCCTTGCCAAGCCTCACCTTGTAGAGCACCTAGGAGAAGCGGGACAGCATGAAGACCACATTGTGGAAGTGAACAGTGGGACAGTCAATGCTTGCCAGCAGTGCCACATCCCCCAGTTTGGCCTGCCCCACAGCCTCCACAGGCACCTTCAGCAGCACCTTGCTCTGCTCATGTGCACCAGGTAGCAGCACAAGGTGGGGCTGGCAGTGCCAAGGGCTGCCTGGAGCCTGCTGAACTCAGCCCCTATGCTAACACAGAGCTGGCACCAGCCCTTCCTCCTCTGAAAGAGAGAGACGCAGCTGGAGGACTGCACATCCTGCATGTTTTTGGTCCAGGCTGTGGAGGACAGGTAGTGCTGTTTGAAGGCCTCTCTCCAGGACTGTGGCTCCACAGGCTGGTTAGGCCAGTTGGGGTATCTGTGCTCAAGGCAGCCCCAGGCAGAGCCATCTCCTGTTTTGTCCAGGCTCAGGATGAACTCATACCAGGCCGTGCAGACCAAGCTGCAGCAGCCCAGGTCAGGGAGGCACAGGTAGGCTAAGATGAGCTGCCACAGCTACACTGGCAGGCTACCAACCTCCACCAGCACTTGCAAAGGACAAGACACAGAGTCAGTGGTGTGTCCAGAGAGCTCAGGGCAGGGACCCCATGTTGACAGTGACATGCAAGTCCCCACTGAACATACCTCTCCAGGGACAGAACTGTACAGGAGCAGGCCCAAGGTAGCAGGCTGGCACACCTCAGGTAGACATGGGATCTGACCAAGGGGCGCTCAGCACTCATCCTATGGTGTGCTCCATCCACCATCACCCCTGTCCCTCCCTCCCTTCCTCCCTTTCCTGCTAGCCCCATTCATGGGTCAGCAATGCCCAAACAACCTGTTCTGAGGTCTCTGCTCTTTCAGGGTGTTTAAAAGTTTGTTGTTTAAGGTTCAAAGATGCACGTAAACAAGCACATCCATCCTCCCCTAACAATGGATCTCCCACTGCAGCTTCCCCTGTCCCAGCCCCTCCTGTCACCTCCGTGGGAGAGTTGTCTGCCAGCTCCCACGCAGTGACATGGCGTAAGACCCCAGGAGCGAGGCAGGGTGGGCAAGAGGACACATGCACCTCTGGTGAATGAAAAGCACGGCTGGGAGCACACGCTGCACGACACAGAGCTGCTGAGTGTTCGGCCAGGTTTTGCTGCTAGGAGGGAACAACGCGGCATGCAGGACCTGCGTGGCTAACTAGCAGGCGTTCTCCCGACGAGCGCCTGCGGTCTCCTGAGGACCGCCCCTCCAGGATGCAGTACCCGATCCTGAAACAGCTTCTCCAGGACACACAAACAGGGCCGGAGAGACCTACACAAACCCAGAGCAGCACTGGGGGCTGCGAAGCTGGGGAAAGAAGACATCAGGATACAAGTTCTGCAGCGCCCCCCTCCGCGGCTTTCCCCCGTTCTCTCCCCGAAATCTTCGCGGCACCCGCAAAGGGGGAATGCCCCGTCCGCGGCAGCAGAGCCCCTCCCGCCCTACCGATGTGTCGCACGGGGCTGCCCGAGAGCGCTCGGCTGTCCAGCGCTTACCTCCGCCCCACCCCACCCCACCCCACCCATCATCACGTCACATATCACATCACGTCACATATCACATCACGTCACATATCACATCACGTCACATATCACATCACGTCACATATCACATCACGTCACATATCACATCACGTCACATATCACATCACGTCACATATCACATCACGTCACATATCACATCACGTCACATATCACATCACGTCACATATCACATCACGTCACATATCACATCACGTCACATATCACATCACGTCACATATCACATCACGTCACATATCACATCACGTCACATATCATCCCGTATCACATATCTCACATCACATCACATATCATCACGTATCACATATCTCACATCACATCACATATCACCACATATCACATATCACCACATATCACATATCACCACATATCACATATCACCACATATCACATATCACCACATATCACATATCACCACATATCACCACATATCACCACATATCACCACATATCACCACATATCACCACATATCACCACATATCACCACATATCACCACATATCACCACATATCACCACATATCACCACATATCACCACATATCACCACATATCACATCTCACCACATATCACATCACATCACACATACCACATCACACATCATCACGCATCACGCATCGCATCGCATCGCATCGCATCGCATCGCATCGCATCGCATCGCATCGCATCGCATCGCATCGCATCGCATCGCATCGCATCGCATCGCATCGCATCGCATCGCATCGCATCGCATCGCATCGCATCGCATCGCATCGCATCGCATCGCATCGCATCGCATCCGCTCCCGTGCCCCACGAGCCCGGCTCCCCGCACGATGGAACCCGCACTTGCGCGGAACGTACCGTCACCTTATTGACGGGGAGCATCAGGTCACGTGGAGCGGAGACGGCGCTACGTTTCCCCGCCCTCTTCTCGTCGCCCTCTGTCCTCGTCATCCCTTGCATCGGGCAGTGCGGCTGCGTTACAAGCGCGCGCACGAGAGGCGGTGGCTGGGGGCTCAGCCCGCCGGCAAAGACTCCGGTCCCCTCCCGCCCCTCTGCTGCCGCCATGGCAACGGCCGCAGGTACGTCCTCAGGTGTGCCCCGCCACCGGCGCTCCGAAACGGATCGTTTCGGCGCGGCACGGGGGTCGCGCAAGCGCGTTGTGTCGGGGGCGGGCGAGAGAGCGTGGTTCCGTTGGGAGCGGGCTGCAGCCGCCGCCCCCCACTCCGCCACGCCGCGGGCCTGACCTTGAGCTCCCTCTCGGGGCCCAGAGCCTTAGGGAACGGGGCCACGCCTCAGCCCCCAGCCCGGGAGAGCGCCGAGCTGCTGGCCACTCAAACGGAAGGCCGGGCGTTTTCTCTCGTGGCCTCCCCACTTGCTCCGCTGCTGCGGTACTGACTTGTGCTTGGCTTCTTGCTTTTAGGTCCCCTGGCGCCGTGTCCCGGAGCGGCTGCGATCGCAACCAGACGTCCCCGGCACACCGGCGCCGAGGCCGGACGGCCCTGCCAGCGTCGTCGAGAGCATTGAGGGCTCTTCAGCGGCGTCAGCCCGGCGAGTTTTGGCCTGGCACAGTGGCTCCGCGTAACTCCCACGCCAGTAATGCAGTGAGTTTGGAAGCGTGGCCGGGGAGGGGCTCGGTGCTGTTGGCGGGCCGCTGAGCCGGAGGTAGTAATCTGGGGTTTGACATCGCAGTAGGTGATCGGCTGGAGAAACTAGTGGACGAATCCATCAGCCTTCTGTGCTGACTGCATACCTTCAGGGTTTGGTTAGTATTTTAGGGTGAACATTTCTCACGATGGCGTGTGAGTTTGCAGAGCTACTTTGGTTTACTGATCGAGCAAGTGTTTGGGGTAATCTTAAACAGTGACTTGGCCAGGAGGAGTTCCTAGGCAGCATATTCGTTCCATGGCAGTCAGGATGACAGGAAACACTGCAGTCTCCTGCAGGAATTGGAAATACAAAGACATAATGCAATACCAGATACCAAATTCCTTTTTCTTTATTTTTCCTTGTTTTTTTCAGACCTAGTGGGTCACCTGCCATCATTTTGAAGGCCATGGCAATTTAAGCAGGTAAATGGGTTGAGACTAATTATATGTACCATATGATGTACAGACCTTGGATTAAGGAACCTGATGTCAAAAAGAATTGCATGTGCCCCCTTGCTCTGAGTACTCTGAATTTGGGTGCTGCATTGAGGGGAACTTCTATGTATAAATGGGATGTTGCAGCAGCTTCAGGTGTTCACCTATATAGGCAATTTTGTTAATTCACAACTTTCTTTTTATTTGAGAAGTGTTTTTTAATGTTAAATTGTAATAAAATGGCTGCTGTGCTGATATACTTGTAGATGGTACAGGCCATACAAAGTGTGCCTGAAAACAAGGGTTCTGTCATAAACACTTCTGGGAGGACTTGCTGTGCTTGGCTCTTGCAAGTTCCCAACTCAAAAGTTTAGGATCCTGCAGTCCTAAACAACTCCATACTGCACACATCCAGTACTTACACCAAAAGGAGCATGTAGCTTCTGAAACTAAGTCTCTCTCTCTCTCTTAGTTTTGTTTTGTCTTTGTTGTTTGTTGGTTTTTGCCTCAGTCAGCTGTCACCCATATAAAAGACTAGTTGTCAAAGACCTTCTGAATCGTGTTGTTATTGTCTGTGATGAGACTGTTCCACACTGTTAGTTAACATGACCCACTATCCCCTGTCTAAGGCTAGCATATTTTCAAATGTGGCTTTTTAGTATATACAAGTAGAATTACAGTAATCTGAATAATACTGTAAACCACCGCATATATAGTGATGTATAAGCCATATAATACAAATCCTTGTCTCTTATGTTCCTTCTTATATTGACAGAAACACTTCATCTTTGTAAAATATTAAAGTGGCATTTTCACTTGCTAGACCTTAAAGGATTAAATAGCGTGTAAGCGTAGGGGAGATTCCAGTCAAGGTAAATATGTGTTTTGTTTTAGGAAGAAATTGTGTACTTGGTCAGAATAATCTGTCAGGTTGCTTTGAGCAATCCAGCTTGTTTCTGGATAGCTTCTGCAACACATCCTTCACATAACAGGCCTGTAGTGGCTGCACCTTGAGAATCAGGTCCTCATGGCAGTTACAAGTATTAGCTTCAAATACCATTTTGAAATCATGGGACTGTCATGCCGGTTGCTGGCAGGTGGTATGTGAAGTTTGCAAGCCAGCACCTGCCTCACTTGATTGTTACCAACTTAGCTCAAATTGTTCTGTAGTGAAAGTTAGTATTCGAATCAGCTGCAAAAACAGATTTTTATAATTGTTGAACAAGTAATCCCATTTTAAGTGATGAACAGGTGTTGCCTGGTAATGATTATTTTAGTGCTTCTCTGCTTTATTTGATAGAACTGTCTCTGGTTTTGTGTCCTTCAGAACCTCAGATTGAGCCAAGCTCAAGGTCCTAAACTTCTTGACAGAACATGAAAACAAAGTGTGGGTTCAGGAAGCAATCTTTCTCTGTGGATAAGGCTGCAAATTAATTAACTGGAATGCTCAGAAATTTTCAAAACTTAGAATTTTTCTTGTTGTTTAAAGCTGTGATTACGGTTGTGTATTAGATTTGGAATAGAGTTAATTTTCTTCACAGTAGCTGATACAGGGTTGTATTGTGGATTTGTGATGAAAATAATGTTGGTGGCACCAGGATGTTTTATCTGTTGCTGTGCAGTGATTGCACAGAGTCAAGAGCTCTTTTGTTCCTCATGCTGCCTTGCCAGCAAGCAGTCTCGGGGTGTACAAGACTTTGGAGTGGATACAAAGTAAAACAGCTGACCCTCATTGACCAAAGGGGTGTTCCATACCAATGTCATGCTCAGCAATAAATCTGGGGGAGGGAGGTTGGAGCTGGGATGGTGCTCAGAGGCTGGCTCCTCTCTCTCTCTGTTGGGTTTTTCGATTTTTTTTTTTTTGGGGGGGTGGGGGGGGTGGAGAGGTGCCCCTTAAAAGATACTTCTAAAATCTTTTTAATTATTAAACTTTTTAGCTCACTTTTACTTCCCTGATTCTCGGAGGGGGGAGAATGAGCATGTGATATTTAGTTGCTGGCTGGATTAAACCACAACTAACAAATTGTTACTTAAATTACCTGATGTTTTCTGCCACAGAGAAAGGCAGAGTGGAAAACCAGAATTTGTAATACTACAGCATGTATTTTATTTATTTGTTTATTTATTCTTAGGCTCTCTTTTGTTCCCATCACCACCATCCTGGTGATGTATATTTCATTTGCGTGACAGTAGGCCTTTCACTGAATTATTTGGCACAGTGAATGGGGAAGTCCAGTGTATAAGCTTCCTCTTGTTAGCTGTGATGTAGCACTTGTGAAGTTCCTATCTCAGTTTTCTTCCCAGTTTCCTTCTATTTCAATTTGAAAATGTGTAGAAAGGAAAAACTGCCACTTTTTCCGGTCTGTGAGACTTGAGTAGAAAACAGTACAACATCTGTCATATCTGGTATTTGTCACTTTTCTCCTTCATATTTTATGAGCTTTCATCAGGTGTAAGATACCAGGTGCTGTTGGAATGATCAGCTAGTGTGGAAAAAAAAAGCTGCAGGGTCACCTACAGCTCTGCTCCTGTTCTTTCTTTTCATTTTTTGATGTAGGTAAGGAGAATTGAGATGAACTGTAGCAAGAAAAACAGTATGATGGATTCAGAAGGTTCTGCCCCAAAGAAGGCAAAGGAGTATCTAAGCACTGATGTAATGGCTACCTCTGGAAAACATTATCTTTGTGGCTGCTGTGCAGCCTTCACAAATATAGCAATCACTTTTCCCATCCAGAAGGTCCTCTTTCGACAGCAGTTGTATGGTTTGAAAACAAAGGATGCAGTACATCAGCTGCAGAAGGACGGGATTCGAAATCTCTATCGTGGTATCCTTCCTCCCTTAATGCAGAAAACAACAACACTGGCTTTAATGTTTGGCTTGTATGAAGATGTCTCATCCCTGCTCCATAGCCACACGAATGCTCCTGAACTAGTCACTTGCAGCATGGCAGCAGTGCTTGCAGGGACCACAGAAGCTGTTCTTACACCTTTTGAGCGAGTTCAGACTTTGCTTCAGGACTACAAACACCACGATAAATTTACAAACACTTACCAGGCTTTCAAGGTACTGAAAGTCTATGGGGTGAGAGAGTATTATCGGGGACTGGTGCCTATTCTGCTCCGAAATGGACCCAGTAATGTACTTTTCTTTGGCCTACGGGGACCTATTAAACAGTGTCTGCCTGAAGCAACTTCTTACAGCACTCATTTGGTCAATGACTTTATCTGCGGAGGGCTGTTGGGTGCCATGCTTGGATTCTTGTTTTTCCCAGTGAATGTTGTAAAAACTCGCATGCAAGCTCAGATTGGTGGTGAATTTCAGTCCTTCTCAAAAGTTTTTGTGAAGATCTGGCTGGAACGAGATAGAAAACTCATCCACCTTTTCCGAGGAGCCCATCTGAATTACCATCGTTCTCTCCTGTCCTGGGGCATAATCAATGCAACCTATGAATTCTTGCTAAAGCTGTCATGAAAACCACTATCTTCCTTCGGCTCTTCTGTTTATGTGTTTGTTGGGACATACAATGTCACTTAATCCCAGGAAACAGTGCCTGTGTAGTATGAAAGGTCATTAGTCTTGGCCTTCAATATTTATGGAGTGAATGGTGATGATTCTAAACCTTGGTGCAACTAAGGTGAACTTTTAAAATGATTTATTTGCTGGCAGGTGAGTTTTCCCATAATGGAGCTACTAGACAAATAAAAGATTTAAAACAAAGGAAATTTAAAAATACTTTTATTAGTCCAGCAGCTTATTCTGTATCATTCCCAAAATTTTGTAACACTTTGATAGAATGTCCACATTTGATCCATTGCCCACACTGTAGATCATAAAAATCAAGGATCGGCTGCTGAAAATGATTCTTTTGCCTAATAAACATCAAAACCTCAATTTACAAACTGTATTTCATAATGTTTTAGAGTCCTAAGTACTTCCTACTGTTTAAAGCTAAAAGGACAGATCCAGATGGGGATAACTGAAGTTTAGAACTTCAAACTTAAACTAAGCCTACGTATACTGCTTTTTGCCAGCTGTTTTGATGCTTGGGTTTCAGATGAGTATTTCATTCAGCAGTGGTTACCAAATGTTTTAATTTCAGTGTAAACTGACTCCAGAGTGGAATCTGTGTATATGTACATGTGTGCCTTCATGTGAAAAGGGAAAAGTGGAAGGAATGAAATGGCAAATCTACTAAAGCTTTAAAGTGTCCTTCCTTGTTAAAAAAACTTCAACTTCTAAACATGGAGTTTGTTCTGCTTTTTGTGGTTGGTTGGTTGGTTTTGGTTTGGGGGATTTTTTTTTTATTGCTGCTTTTTCTTTTACTTGCAGCTATGGGGCTAGAAAGAAGATGGCCCTTTCTGTAATGCTTATGAAATGAGTTAGCTTTCTGCAGCAGAGAAAATAGTTCACAAACACAGCTCTTTATACTGAGTTATCTTGTCGATTGCAAACTTTTGTTTCGTTTGAGCTGTGGAATAATGGATCACAAGAAGGTACTTTAACCTGAAGCTTGGTGTTCTGTCTACTTGATACATAACTCTTGATGGTTCTGTAAGGCAGAATTGTATAGCAGCATTGACAAGATGAGGTTTCTGGGTATTACTGACTTCAGTGGAGGCCTTTAAGTGTAGCAGAGATAACAGCCAAAGATTACTTTAGAAGCAACTATTTAGGAAAGATACAGTGTTTGGAGATGTGTTTAAGTCTTCTATAGGTGACTATTGAAAAAGACTTACAGAAATAGGAAGAATTATGTGTCTTACAGACTTGGGAGTTGAGAGAGAAGACTTGAGGCCTTAGAGAAAGGGACAGAAAAGCAAGCATGACCATAAAACAGATGAAGGTCTCAACAAAAAGCATTTGATTTTCCTGGGGGACTTTATGAAACTTTATATTTAAAAAAATATTTTGAATGATAGGGGGCAGGAAAGCTTTCAAAAACTGGTCTGAATTGGTCTTTTCATAAGTTTTGAATGGCTATTACTTTTTAAAATTTGAGTTTTCCATTTGCTAAACTGTCCCAAAACATTGATTCTAATCAGTGTGTTGTAATATAGTCCCTAGCTTGACAGTCAGAAATGCCCAGGCACAAGTGAGCATCCTGTATCTGAATGTTTTGATCATCTGTATTTAAATAAAATGTTTACTGAATGTTTGTTACTGGCAGAATCTGTGTACTGGTTTTTTGTAATCATTCCTCAGTGGAATAAAAAAATTTCATCCTGTTTCTCTGTGATAAATGATACATACCTCTCTGATATTTCTAAGAGAAATCTGAAGTGTTTAGAATAAAATATTAACATAAGCCTGCCCCTAATTGGTGATTGGCAGCAAAAGGAAAGTGGTCCTGATCTGTTGCTGTAACTGCTTATGTTGCATGGTTAGATTGAGTGCAGTGCAAATCTGTCATGATGGAACAGAGTTCAAGTATCACTTTTATAGCCACTGACAGTATTACAGCACACTCAAAGGAACTGTATGCTTAAGATACAGATGTTTTATGCGTAAGGGGACAGATACTCAAAATCAGTGAAGAGAGGGATCCAGTGAGTTTTGGCACACAAGTTACTGCTTACAAAAGTTACAGTTTACAAGACAGGATGTGTAATTGGTCTTCAAGAGAGCAGAGAAGGAGCTGCAGTGCTTCAACTGTTCTAGTATTTATGTTCCTTTGCTATGGGACAGCACAGGAGTGGGATCCTTAATGTTTTGCTGCCATGTCTCATCACTGTGTTGCTATTAACCCAGTACATTGCCTGAACAGCTAGAGGGGCCTCATTTGCTGCCTTCTCTGAAAACATATAGCTCATGTTTTGATCAGCCTCTAAAGGAGAATTTTAAAACTGATTGCTGATGCTGTGGTTGCTTTTCTTGGTGGACTACAGCAATAATTTCCAGCTAAAGAAGGGAAAGGGAATTGGGAAGGGGAATTCCACAACAATAATAACTGGAATAGAGAGAGAATAATAGAGCTAGTCTTCGGGTAATAAGTGCTTTGAGCAAAGGAGGGTAATACTGCAAAATACTGCTCTGTGGGTTTTCAGGCATATTTCTATTCCAAGACCACCTATACAATATTTTATGCAAATCAGTTAATTAAGTTTAGCCAGTTCTTAGCTGTTTACAGAAGTGGGGTATGGGGAAATCTTTTGCATGGGAAAGTAAACTAATATGAAGGCAACAGCTTTTAGCACCTCTGAAATGACTGGCTGGAAAAGGCAAGAGGCTCCAGTAACAGCTATAAGACCTAAACATTACATACCAGTCAGGCTGTGACAGTTCAGTTAGATTTTGGTCATAGAAAAAAATCCAATACCACCTCTTAACAACTAGAGAGATAGCTTTCTTCTCATTTATTATGCAGTGTGTGATGAGGGGGTGAGAGAAAGCCACAAGCACTGACAAGCCCAAACAGCATTTTTGCAGCATCAGGATAGGTAAACTAGATACAGTGTATGCATTTTAGGCAGGGTACAGACTGTTTATCAATCACTGCCTGCTCTGGTGATCTTCATCAAACAGCATTGTTGTACGGGTAAGAGGTCTAGAGTCAGATTTTGATTCTTCTTAGCTTATTTTCAGCAAAGCTTGATGGAGAAGTGCTACAGCTGGGTCTGTAACCCACCAAGTTTGAGAACTGCACCAGCAGCTTAGAATTAACCACCATTATAGTGAAGCCAGGACAGCAAAGCGTGCTCATTTCCTCAGGTGCTTAGTTTGTATTCCTCTGCCCAAGCTCAGATCCACCTTCTGATTTAAACCCATGTCACATTGCTCCTATCTGTGTTGAAGGCCTTATTTACAGAAAACAGCAGACGATGTGTACAATGTACCTTCAGCACCCAGTGCCTCACGTGCCCCATCAGTCCTGCATGACACAGTGACATTTATCAGTTCTTCAGGTGGTGAGGTAGAATTCAGTTTTTGTGCAGATGTTTTTGCTGTGCCTAATGGTGAGTGGCTTTACTGGAGCCCAAACCTTTGCAAGTGGAAGAGGGCAGTGTGTCACTCTCCTTACAGCCAGCCAGCCCACGAACCTCTGCCTCAGATACAGCTACCCACGGCAAAGCAAACAGGTATTTTCAGTCTTAGGCTGTTCTCCGTGGACAGATAGTTGCCTGTTCACCAAGCGAATGCAGAGTTTTACAAAGAACAACAATGCTGTCTTCAAGGATTGGAAAGGCGCTCTCTACCCACAGGTACTGTCTTGGGCAACAGAATGGTTGTACTTAGTTACTTGTACTTAGTTTGTAATTATCATACTAGCCCCAGTATGTGTTCTGCTTTCCGGGCTTCATGAGTGAACTGTTTCTTCTTACAAGCATGCTCGACAGTAAGGACAGTAGCAAAGCGGTGGGGGGGAAGAGACCCGCGTACAGAAGTTGTTTTGCTGTAAGCACTGTTTTTTAAGTCTTAGTTGTAGGGAGTAGGCAAGAACCAGTGAGCACTACAAAACACAGCTCAGTGTGAGATAAATACATTAAAATAGATTTTAATTCAGTGAATTATTAAATATTTAATTTATTATGCAAGCAAGAGAAACTGTGCACAAATAGTAAGTTACTGTACGACTGTAAGTACAATATTTTAAGAGCAGGTCTGGTACTTCCTATACTATATTAAAAGGCTACAATTTTCACTATGAAATCTCAGATGTTTCAAAATATTCTACATGCACAATTTATTCTTGTAATAAAAACCTTAACTGAAGTTACTTAGTGCTTTAGAAAAATGCACCTTTGACTAAGATCAGGAAATGAGAAGTTTCTTTTTCCTGCAGGCTGTTGACTTTTTTCTTTTACTCCAACTTTTTAGAATCTTGTAAACTAGATTTTTAAAAAGCTTTCATTTGGCAAGAGTATTTCCTTTTTCTAAGAGTTCATATTTCATAAAGCAACAAACCCGTATTTTATGCTATCAGGACCATTTCCACATCAGTTACCCAAATTAAAAACCAAAACCAAATCACCACCACCACACAAAGAAAAAAACCCCACGAAAATCAACCACACCATCACCCAAAACCCCGGAAGAACCTGATGCATACATTCTAATTCTGGTAGTAGGCAATCAAACTGTTCTTACCAAGACTTCCAAGAGTGCAAACAAATGTCTGTGTGTCTGTCTATATCACTGTGCTTTTCTTTCTATCCCCAATAGTTCAGTTTGGAGGTTACATTTTTCCCTGAACTACCCATGTTTGACAAGTGGGCCCATGCCCCATGGCTGCACACATACTGAAATGAAATTACCTCATATGGATAAAGTACATATACACAAATGTCATTGTACAGTCCTGTTAATAGTTTCTCACCCTACCCACAAATGTCCAACAGTGCTGTAGTGATTTACAGACTGAACCCTAATGGAATACTCAGAAAATGCACATTTTCTCCCACAACATACAGTCACTGGACTATTACGGAAGATTACCATCTTCAGACACTGATTTGGTTCCTGTCATTGCTGCTATACGTTGACATTCCTGTAGAGATATTAATTACACAGTTTATCTGCTTTTGCTGATGAGCCCTGCTGTGAATGGAGGAATTCTTTTACTACAGAAGTTAACGAATATGAAACCATCCATTTAAACATACTACATGCTTTACAATCAAATTGAGATCTCTTATTCAGTATAAATACTGTAAAATCTGTCAAATGATAAACACTTGGTCAAAAGTAAACATTTTAAAGAGACCTCCTATGTAAGTCAATAGCTTACTTTGCTGTTAGTGCAGTCTGTGCAGTCTTTCACCATTTGAAACATTTTTTTTGTATTTATTTCAGGTTTATATATTTATGGAAGGTTAAGAATTCATCTTTTGAAACATAACAGCAAGATAAACCTTTTTTTCTTTTTACTATCTAGAAATAATCCAAAGCTCATCAGCAAATTACTTCATTAATTCAATAAGGTAATACTATTCAGAAATAACTGAAAATTACTCTTTCCACCAAGACAGTAGAAAGGCATCAGTTACGATAAGCCTGCAACTGCAAAGCGTATCAGTTAGGAACTACTGAACAGTGTTTCAATATGTGTTGCTTGAACTTCACAGGTAAAGAAGATTAACTTCCATTGAAAATTTCCAAGTTGTGTTGAAAGGGAATAATCAAATTATCAAAACCTAATATTACTTATTCTAATTCAACTTATTACCAATATAATCAGAAGAACTAAGTAACATTTCTACAGCATACATGGACAGAATTAATCTTAATATGCATCTGCTGGACATGTTACAAAAACATCAGTGTTACCATCAAACCCCTTCATCAGATCAATGTCAACTTTTAGCATCAATCCTACACTCCTGCTCAGCAGCTCTGGTTTCCAGAGCTGGGCAAGGCTGGTCAAGCCACAATGCTGTGATGATGTGTCACCTGGGAGTAAAATTTCTTTATACAGAAAAGTTAGTATCCAATGTTTCAGCACAATACTCTTGTAAAAAAACAGTGGATCGTGAGGTAGAATTTAAAAAGTAACACTCAATGCATATTAACAGGCATAGAATTAAAGTCATAAGCAGTCTACCAGTTCAAGGAATTTCTGAGAGGAAAAACCAAAACCAGCCACGAAAACAAACAGACCCAAGAACTACTTTGATTTCCTGTGTGCTGCTTTACCTCCAAAATGAACACAGTTCAAGCCTATGAGAACAGTAAGATATCTTCAGCTCCCTGTAGTCCCTTCAATGGTGTTTAGTAAAAGAGTGAGGTGAGAAAACAGCAGCCTAGAAGCGAGTGCTTAGGGAAAAGTCATCATAGTCCACTGGAGGGATAGGGGTAGAACCTGTTTATTACTAACAGGCAACAAATTCTAATGGCGGGAGTCAGAGAAATGCAAGTGTTCATACAGTCACAATGCATTGTTTCAAAATACTTCAGGCACATGTAACTTAGCACTTCCACTGGTCTAATACCAAGAACACTGTATGCAGAAGTTTTGCCACACAGTTAACAGTTTCGTGGGTTTTGTTTTGTTTGGTGTGGGTCCCCCTGCAAACAGCTTAGCTCCTCCTTTGCATAACAAACTTGTGTTCCACAAACAGTCTCAAGTTTGGTGCACACTTCACTTCCACTGCTTTTAAGTCACAGATGATAGAAGTCCCCCTGAACTCTAACAAATCAGCAGATCCAAGTTGCCC